ATGGAGTCTTGCTCTGTCGCCCAGACTGGAGTGCAGTGGCACAATCTCGGCTCACTGCACCCTCTGCCTCCTGGGTTCAAGCAATTCTCCTGCCCAGCCTCCCGAGTAGCTGGGATTACAGGCACACACCACCATGCCCAACTAATTTTTGTATTTTTTTAGTAGAGACAGGGTTTCACCATGTTGGCCAGGCTGGTCTTGAACTCCCGACCTTGTGCTCCACCCACCTCAGCCTCCCAAAGTGCTGGGATTACAGGCATGAACCACCGTACCCAGCCCGGATCATTTCTCTATGCACTCTGGGGGTGATGGCACTCAGCCCCACAGTGGCAGCTGCAATGACTGCACCTCATGCCCACACCTCTCCTCAGTGGCCTGCCTCTGTGGCAGCTATGATGACTGCCCCTTATGCCCACACCTCTGCTCAGTGGTCCAGACTCAACCTGCCTGCAGACTTCACATTTCTACTTGGAGACCTAAAAGGCCTGTCTAGCCAACATGTTTGAAACGAAGCTCCCGGCTTTCCCTACTAAACTTCAACCTATTTCCCCAGCCACATACCTGGTCATCCGGGGTTTTTCCTTTTTGCTCCACCCCTACATCTTACTCATCACTAAATCTTGTCTAATCTACCTGCAAAATACACCTATGTCCACTTTCCCCCATCTCCACCATCACCCAAGTCTCCACTCTTTCGCCCTTTCTCCTCTCAGTATGATTTGGTAGCCAGCCAGCTCTCCAAGACTGCTGGACCGCTGCTGTCCTGAACACCCTCTTGCTGACTGCCTGCTGTGCCGGACTAGAACCTCCTTAGAGCACAAGTCCTGTGTGACCCAGACTCTGGCCACAATTCTTGCCCTGCCCTATACTTCAGCCCGTTTTCCTGTGGCCAGCACCTTTTCCTTTAAAAAGTCAGGCTCAACATGGTAGTGCAGGCCTGTAATCCCAGCACTTTGGTAGACCAAGGTGGGAGTATCGCTTGAGCCCAGTTCAAGACCAGCCTGGGCAACATAGTGAGACCTCATTGCCACCAAAAACTTAAAAAAATTAGCCAGGCGTAGTGGTGCATGCCTGTAGTCCAGGCTACCCGGGACGATTGCTTGAGCCCGGGAGGTCGATGCTGCAGTAAGCTATGACTGCACCATTGCACTCTAGCCTGGGCGATTGAGAACTTACCTCAAAAAAAAAAAAGTTTAAGAAAGGAAAACTTGGACAAGACAGATGTCAGAACCCCATCTGGGAACTGCAATCCTTCTGGCAGCCCATCAGCATCTCTGGGTGAGGTGGTGAATGGTACTGCCCCATTGGGAGGTGGGCTACACCACCTCTAGTCCTTCTATACATATGTCTAACTAAGATTTCCATGAATTCCACTTAGGTATCACAGAGGCAGTAACAGCAAACCAAGTTCCATGGGGACATCCATATCATTTTTGCTTTCTCTACATCCACAAACAAAACAGCTTTTTTAACCCAACCTATCTCCTACAGAACTCTAAAGGGAGAAGGTGGAAAGGGCCTTCAGAGGAAGTCCAGGTTACTTATTAAAGCAGAATGGAAGCCAACAGATACCAGCGTTTATATTTTATTCAACTTTATTAAAAATTAAAACTACAGAAACCAAACTTAATGCACGAATAAGAGAGTGGGGAAACAGGCAGCAATGGCAGCTGGTAATGAGTGGATAATCCACATGACTCACATCCCATCCCTGCGACTTAGGAGCCCAGGCTGCTGCGCTGGCACTGTTGTGCCCTCTTCCACCACAGGGACACAGAAACCTGCAGGAGACTGAAAAGATTACAAACATCTTCAACCAGCTCTCTGGCCAAAGGTTGCAGAAGCAGCCTGAATACGAAACTCACACCAAGAGGGCAGCAGCTCTCCTGACATCCACGTAAGGAGGCTAACACCTAAACCACGCGCAGGCATCCTGAACTCACAGCTATGATCCAAGGTACTGAGTGGAGACAAAGCACTCGGAGGTGGCAAGATGTTCAGCAACCAAGTAAGACACACTGGCAAGGAATCCCACCCAGAAGGTGAGAAGCACAAAGCAGGCTTGGAGAAACGAACAGTCATGCCAGGTGCAGCCAGACATCCTGCTACAAGCCCTGACCCTAGCACCCCAAGTTCATGGAGTGCTCTGGTTTTGTGCCCATAAAGCACAGAGGGCACTGATCACTCAGTCTGACTGCCTCAAACCAAATCTTTCTGGATGGCGCAGGACCTCAGAACTGCTGCAGAATCATCTTCCTTTTCAGGTCGTGGCTAAACTTGTTCATCCTGAAGAGCTCACTGTCATAAAATGCAGAGAGGTTGTGGATGTTGATCTGACGAGCCTGCAAGCAGGAAGTGTCCAGTGAACCATCAGTGGTGTGAGAACAGGCTGTTTCCAGAGCACCCATACACAATGCGCTTTCAGACACCATCACCTCTATTTATGGGAGGAAAATATCAAGGAGTGGAGAGGCCGATTAAGGGGCTTCAAATCTCTGCTGTGCAAGCTGCGCGTGTAAACTGAGACAAGTTATTTGGCTGCCCTGTATCTGTCTCCACCTCTGTACAACAGGAAGGCAGTAACAAGACTCACCTCACGCCCCTGCTGTCAGACTACAGGCACAGAACTGGACTCAACAGACTGTAAGCATTCAATAAACAGCCCACCCACTTCACGACCCAGTATGAAGGAGCCCCTTCAGGGGACTGGCAGCTCCCAAGGCAGCAAACCCCGACCCTCACCTCCCTTCTGGGCCCATACCTTATCCACCAAGTCCTTCTCAGGAACCTCAATAGTGTCCTGCTGGGCCCCAAAGCGGTTGCGCTGATATGTCACCTGCTCTGCCACTAACTGCTTCAGTATGAAGAGCAACAGCTCATTGTTGTCACGCCGGAATGAAAGGTAGCGGGCAAAAGTCTGCAGGAAAAAAGCCTCAGTCAAACACCCGCTCCCACTATGCCTGCCACGCTCCCTTTACCCTATGTGCTAGCACCCAGGTCAGACAGGCTGCCGCTGCTGGGTGCACGTCCAGGCCAGAGCCTCAGATACCCATGTGTGGCCGGCCTCCTTCTCTTGCCCGTCAGGCCCCTACCTCGGAATACACCTACCTTACGCATGCTGCGCATAACGCTGAACTTCTGAGTGTCTATAAAGCTCTCCAGCATCACGCGGATGGCCATGTTGACATCGTCTTCGATCACATAGTCCCGGAGATGGATGCGCGCGTGGGCCTCCGCCATGCGGATCATGGACTCGATGTGCCGCACCGTAATGGGGATGCTGCCTGTCGCCTGGAGGGAAGCACGTCAGGTCTTTTATGGGCAGGAAAGAGAGGCAAGGAAAATAAAACATCGGCGCTCTTAGCACCCAGAGCCAAGAAGACCCATCTGACAGCGCCACAGCAGAAATGCAGAATGCTTGACTGCGCTGCCCAGTGAATGCACACTTCCTATCTCTCCTCGAAACTGGAGGATGCCGGTGGACGCTGCATGCTTACCGCCTGTCACCATCACACCTGCACAGTTCTGCTCCCGGCAGCTGACTTCTATACATCTCAGAGGCTGTTATATTTGTGGCAAGCTGTATTGGTTATTGTCACACACTAAATATCGAATAATCCTGTGCAATGTAAGTGCAAAAAAAGGTAGTTGTTTGTAGGAAAACTAAATTGAATGATCTGAAAAAACTTGGTAAAGTTAAAAGGCAGAAATTTAAAAAGCTGCTGTGTTGATTGGGTGTGGCTGAGGCAGCAATCTACAAGAACTCGGCATTCCCATGGCTTGCAAGCTGCCTTTAAGTTTCCGCTCCACTATGAATGAGCCAAAGAACTTTTGTTCATTTGCGTGACATTTACACAAAGTCAATATGGAACTTAATAAGCACGTCAACAATTAAGGCCCCAGCCCTATACCAAGACAAATGAATGCACATTTAAATTTCATCTAAAACAAAATGGTTAAGGTATATATTAATACCTATCATTTTTTGTTTTTATTTTTATTTGAAACAGGGTCTCACTGTCACCAAGGCTAGAGTGCAGAGGTGCCATCATAGCTCACTGTAGCTTGAACTCTTGGGCTCAAGTAGATCCTTCTTCCTTAGCCTCCTCAGTAGCTGGGACTACAGGCACAAACCACCAGGCCCAGCTAAGTTTTAAAACATTTTTTGTAGAGAAAGGGCCTCACTATGTTGCCAAGCCTGGTCTTGAACTCACCTCAAGCAATCTTCCTGCCTTGGCCTCCCAAAGTGCTGGGATTAGAGGCATGAATCACCGTACCCAACCTTCGTTTTTTGTTTTTGAGATGGGGTCTCACTCTGTCACCCAGGCTGGAGTGCGGAGGTGCGATCTCAGCTCACTGCCACCTCTGCCTCCCAGGTTCAAGTGATTCTCCTGCCTCTTTGGGTTTCACCATGTTGGTCAGGCTGGTCTCGAACTCCTGACATGATCCTCCCACCTCGGCCTCCCAAAGTGCTGGGATTTACAGGCGTGAACCACCATGCCTGGCACCTTCATTTTTTTTTTAATGCCTCCCTGCTCTGGCAGCTTTTGGACTGACCGGCCGCCGCCCCTGCTGCATCGGTCAGAAGGCTCACACTGCACTTCCTTCTCTGCACCACACCTCCCGGCTCTTCCTGGGCTCTCACCATAGATTCTTTCCTCAGGTCACTGTACATCTTGGCCACCTTGTCCTGGTCCATCTGGTTGAGCTTTGGGTGGACCCTCTCCTTGGCATAGATGATGTACTTCTTCAGGACCTCCTGGGGCAAGGGCTCCACACCATATGTATTGGGCATGGCGGGCTCGGTGGCGCTGCCGTTGGCCAGCCCCTCATCCTCCTTGTTGCTGGGGTGGTGTCTGACGTGGCTGCCCACCACGAAGCGGGCCAGCATCTCATCCTAAGACAAGCCATGAGAGGGTGGGTCTGACTGTGGGTGTGCGCGACCTTGGGGAGGTCAGTGGCTGGAGAAGAGCTGCATGTGTGCCCTACAAGGGTGACGCTCTTTCAACAAGACTGACGACACTGACCATGTGCAGGGCAGTTCTGGGTGGGGGGGGCAAACCAGACAATGGGACAGAGTCCCCACAGGGCCCACCTCCACAAGGGGAAACAAATAGTCTTAAAAATTGATTATGGAAAGTATGCTCAGAAGAAAAATAGAGTGATGGGATCAAGGGACCAAGGAGATGCCTCTAGCTAAAGGTGCCCGGCAAAGCTCATCCCTGAAGGACAGAGAACTGAGATGACAATGCTGAGATGCAAGTCACGTGACAGTGTGGGAGCGCATGTGCCAGGAGCAAGGAGCGTAAGAGAGCCCCCAAGGCTTGGCCCTTTTGAGAGACAGAAGGGCAGGTGCAGGTGAGAGAAGGGAGCGAGGAGGAGGTAGCTGCAGAGAGGGTGGGTGTGGGCTGGAGGGGAGGACTATGGATTCTATTCTGGTGACAGCAGAAAGCCTCGAGCAGTTGTTAAGGATGGGGCTGATCTGATTTATGCCTTCAGCTGGAAGACAGTCTACGTGGGTGCCAGGAGGCCAATTCAGATGATGGTAGTGCCTCAGGTCAGAGGCAGAAGCGAGGGAGGCGGGCAGGTTCAGAAGTTGGGACAACAGGATTTGGTGGATTGTGGGTTATTCCGGGTGGGGGTTGGGAGTGCTGTGAAGGAAAGAGAAATCAGGGTGACTTCTGGACATGAGAAGAGACTGAGGGAACAGGCCTGGAAAACAGGTTACAGCCCCTGCAGCGCCCGTCCCCTGTGCTGGGCACACCATATGACACCAAGCCTCACCTGAGGTCCCCAAACCACAGTGCATGGAAACCGGGCACATGCGAGCTGTACCTGGACTGGGTCCACGGTGTCCCTCACCACACACAGGATGTCGAAGCGTGAGATGATGGGCTCTGTGAGGTCCACGTTCTCGGAGAAGGTCAGCGAGGGGTCGTAGCGCCCTCCTAAAACACAGGGGAGCATCTCTATCAGGGTGGATTCCCCTATCCTCCCGTCTCAGTGACCCCAGGCCACTTTGATGGCAGAAGGGGGTAAGGGCAGTGGAAGAGGAAGACATGGGTGGGTACTTAGCACCTGCTGTCTGAGACAGCAAAGAGCTTACCCCAAGCAATGCCCAAAATAACCTAGTTTAGACAGAAAGCACAACTGCTTCCCCGGAAGGAAAAACCAAGAACACAGTGGGTGACAGAGCCTGGGTTCTTCAAGCATTCGCTGCTGAGACCAACAGCCAACTCCATCCCGGCCAGTGGGGCACTGGGCTCTCCTCCCATGCCTTCTGAGAACATCCAAGGTGGATCCAGGAACATGACTCAACAGGAAACCCAGGTGTCCCAGGTCCCACTTTCACTGTTCCCCACTCTGGCAGGATATGCAGAAGAGGGGAACCCTCTGCTGCCCAGTGACTTCCTCAGATCAGCTCCTGGGGACCCAGTGGGCTCCCAATTCAAGCAGGCGGGACCTCCCTGTGTCCCACCCCAGCCCCAGCAGTCAGGGTGCCTGCTGCACCTATGGGGTTGGCGGCAGCAATGACGGTGCAGCGAGCCTGCAGGGAGGTGACGATGCCAGCCTTCGAGATGGAGATGCTCTGTTGCTCCATGGCCTCATGGATGCTGGTTCTGTCCTGGTCGTTCATCTGCAAGATTAAAATGGCCAGCCCTTAGCATGGTTCGTGCTCCTACCACTAAGTCTCCAATGAGGTCCCAATGCATCCCATTAACACCATTCCCCTCGCTAAGGCCCAATCCCACATACACACCCCGAGTCCCATCAGCCTCCATGACCCAGGGACCCACCTTGTCAAATTCATCAATGAGACACACTCCTCGGTCAGCCAGAACCAGGGCCCCAGCCTCCAAGGTCCACTCCCTGCTGACAGGGTGCCGCTGGACATACGCCGTGAGGCCCACAGCTGACGCCCCCTGGCCGGTGGTGAAGATGGCTCGGCTGGACACTTTCTCAATATACTTGAGAAACTGCGACTTTGCTGTGCCAGGGTCTCCACACAAGAGCACGTTGATATCGCCACGTACCTTGTGTTTGCCACCTGGAGGGGACGAGTGGAAGCGGGGGAGGAGGAGAGTGGGAAGTGAGAGGAGGAGGGCACAGTTGCATCCTCCACCAATTCCTCAGCCTACTTGTTATGAATGGTAAGGCACAGTCTCTCTCGAAAGGGATACAATACCCTACGCCATGCAGTCCCACTCTGGGCACTCCCAGGGACACACACATGGGTGCAGAGGAGGGATGCATGAGATGTCCTTGGCGAATGTGAAATACCAGAAACAATCTAGGTGTTCTCCAAAGGGAGAGCTAAATAAACTGCATTATCCGGTGACACGATACAGTCATTTAAAAGAATGCACTTGCTCTGTATGCACTAACAAGAAAAGATGCCGCAGTGTGGCATTGAGCGGGAGAGCTTGGCGGGGTGCGCTTCGCACAGGCACAGCACTGGGCACACACAGGGGATGCTGTGGTTGTACACATAAATGCGTGTAGTCATGAAACCCTGTGTTTGCTGTGTAATTGTAAATGGCCACAAAGGGAGGGACTAGGATGAGAAGGGGAGGTCGATGGGGAGATCAGCCTCACCTGTGACTTTTAGTGTTCTATAAAAGTGTAATATAAATATACATACCCATGTGTCAATAGTATTTTTGTACTTAAAACAGTTTTTTAAAAGACAAAGTATTTTTTAAATAGAAGAGAAGCAAAGACTCATTTGCTTAAATCACAAAAGCAGGCAGACACTGGCTCCCTGACCAACAGCCCAACACCCAGAATGCCCAACTCAGGGCCACCCTCTCCCTTGAAGAACAAGTCACACCCAGCCAGACTATCTTTTAATGCCTTCTTTCTCCCCAGCACCCAGGCTTTAAAAACACCGTGTCATTCATTCTTCGAATGCTGACACCTCAAAGAGAAAGCTGCTAACACCTCTGCAGAGGAAAGGCGGGTGCTCACCTGGGTTTTTGGGCTCCCCTCCAAACAGGGCCAGAGCCAGGCCTCTCTTGATGTCTTCATGACCATAGATGGAAGGAGCAATGCTGGCAAAGATCTGAGAAAGGGAGGGAGAATGACAGGAATGGAAACAGATACTCACAGAGTAGGTCACCCACACGCTCTGGCATCAGGGAACCAGGACATCCCCAGCTCAAAGATACCCACTTCCACAACTGTTGCAACTGCATCAGGCCCTGGTATCAAGCCGTGCCCGACTCTAAAGCTTTTCATTAGTTTGCTCTTCCCAAGAATCACAGAACTTTGGAGAATAGAAGAACCTTAATCTGAACCCCTAATCTTGACATATTTCAGAAAGGCCTTTCCCAAGATCACAGACCAAGAGAAGAAATGAGACGAGAACCAGATCTGTCATGGCACTGGCCTACCCCAAGACTCAGTTTCCTCTTGTTGGAAAGAGAGATGGCAACACCCAACTCACAGAAGGGTGGGTACAAATGCAACAGTTCATGCAAGTCCCTGCCTCATCAATGCATTCAATGTGGCACATCTGGGAGATGTGTCCACCAGGAAGTAATTCTAACTGGTGAGTCACTGGAACATTTCTCTCTATTTCAGTGTGTGTGTGAGAGAGAAAGAAAGAGACAGGGAGAGAGCAAAATCTTCATGAATTTTAAAGATAGAATCAGAGACATCAAAGACATTTCTTGCTTGTAGGAGACTGCTTCCAACTCTACCTGCAGAGCACAGCCGTGTTTTGATGACTTTCATCCTTCATACCCCCCTGCACTGGCCACACCTACATCCTTCCCTCTTTACAAGACAAAGGAGCTCAGAAAGCACTGGCCCTCCCCTGGGGAGAGGGCACTAAGGCAGGAAAACCAGCCCTGAAGGTGTAGGGGAGACCCCCATCCTGTGTCCTGCCTGCACCACCAAATTCATGCAGCTTTAGAGGTATCTCCCTCTGAAAGAAAGTAACACTTCCCACAGGGCTTCTTGGAGAAATGTCTGATTCCAGGTCTGGGGCAGGAAATGTACAAAAGAAGCCTGCGTTATCTTCTACCAGAAAGCAAAAAAGCACTCAAAGACAACTAAGGTCATGTCAACAGAATTCAGAAGCCAACATGAATAGGTTCACGCTGGCAAAAAAGGGACACTTGAGCATCGTAGGGATGACACCTGCAGCGTGGAAACCGCAACACCCGGTGGGCCTATTCATCTGTTATGATACCCAGGTCACCTGGGAACCAATTCATTATTTTTAAAACTAGTAAGTCAAAGAAAATAAGCAGGCATTTATCTGACTAGGCTTCAGTGCCTGACTGCCAAATTACAGAAAACACAGGCGACAGAGGCATGTGTCTAATGGGGACATAATTAGTAACATCTCGACTGCAAGGCTCAACAGGACAAATGACCCAGTTTCTTTCACAAAAAAATTACAAGGAAAAAAAGAGATGGAGAAAAGATCTAACGATTATGAGACTTAAGAGACATCAACCAATCACAATTTATGGACCTTATTTGGATAATGACTCCAAGAAGCTGCAAAAAACAGGGGGAAGGGGTAAGATAATCAGGAAAATGTGAACACCAACAGAATACTGAATATTAAGGAATTGTTAATTATCTCTTAAAGTGAGATAATGGTAGTGTGGTTAGCTTTTTTCAAAAAGAGCTTTTTCTTTTTCATATACTTACTGATGTAGTTACAGAAAAAAACAGCATGCCTGGAATTTGCCTTGAAATATACTAAGGGTGAATGGGTGGTGCATTAAGAAAACACGATTGGCTGTGACTATGACAGCTGTGGAAGCTGGGTAGTGTGCTACGGTTTCAATGTACCCCCCAGAAAGCATGTGTTGGCATCTTAATCCCCCATTTACCAGTATTAAAAGGTGGGACCTTTAAGGGGTGATCAGGCCATGAGGGATCTGCTCTCATGAATGGAAAATAAAAGCACTGCTATCCAGGGAGTAGGTGAGTCTTAAGGATGAGTCTGGCCCCCTTTGGGCTCTCACTGTCTCTTTAACTCTCACCTTTTTGCCATGGGATGACACAGCAAGAAGGCCCTCGCCAGATGCCAGCCCTCAATTTTGGACTTCCCAGCCTCTAGAACCATAAGCCAATAAATTTCTGTTCATTATAAATTACCCAGTCTATGGTATTCTGTTGTAGCAGCAGAAAATGGACTAAGACAAATAGTTGAAGTTCATTACACCATTCCACATACCTGTTTGAAATTTTCTGTACAGTGTTTTAAAATGTGGGCCAGGCCTTATGCCACAGAGTGCCCACGGAACTCACAATAACCAAATAAACTCACCAACTATTGGCACAATACAGTCACTGGGAGCATGGACTCAAGCCAGGCTGCTGACTCTGCCACTTGCTATGTGACTGTGGCCAACTTATCTAACCTCTTGTGCCTTAGTTTATTCATCAGTAAAACGGGCACAGATGAAACCTACCTCATAGGACCACTGCTATCTAGAAATTACCTAGACAATGCCAAGCAGATACTAAGTCTTCAGTAAGTATAATGACTCCCTTATGAAACCCTTACTTTGTGCTGCGGATGCTGGGCAAACCTCCACGGACCTCTCACGCCCCAAAACACCTCGTGCTGGATGTGCCAAGACTGCCAGTCCTTGACTCCTCTTAACCCAGCTCATTTCCCTGTGTAGTTTTTGTAGCGAGCAACCTTGCAGGATGAGGTAATGTCTCCCTCCAGGGCCAAATGCTTCCTGCTTGCTATGCAGGGCAGATTGCCCAACTCAGTCCCCCTCCTGTAAAGCAACCACTGCATCCAGGGGGACTTCCCCGTGGGACTGGAGGGCAAGGAGCGCAAATGTGCGAATGCCTACACTGCCTGCTGTGCCTTCCACTGCTGACCCAGTTACTCCAGGAGAGAGTAACAGGCTAATTTAATGGCTAGAAAGTGGGGCAGAATCAAATCCCAGACCTGCCAGGGAATAACAGTGCTTTCCATGAATTACCTCATGTAATTCTCATAATAACCCTGTTTCTCTCCATCCTACAGAGGAAACCAAGGCTCAGGTCAAAACATTTTCTCCTAGAAGAGAGGCAAGACTTGACCCCAGATGCATCTGAAGCCAAAGCTCATGCTCCTCATGGCTCTAGCTGTGCTGCTTCCTAGCACTCCTCAGTCTCCACACCCAGCAAACAGGGATAGAGTGCCCAACTGAGTGGGTACTGTGAGTGCCACCCAGCAAATAGAGAGAAAGCACCCACCTGCATGGGTACCATGAGCCTGAGATAACGTTATGTAAAATACCTAAAGCACCAGGCTCCAAGCTATTTTTTTCCTACTTACTGGCTGCTTATGCTTTCTGCACGCCTGTCACAGGCTCTTCCATCCAGTTTTTGTACAAATAGTTTAACTCTTGTAGCCATGTGCAATAACAGCCAGATACTGAGCACTCGCCAACAGCCAAGTACTTTATATGCACTGATTTATTCAATCTTTATAACATCTCTATGAGTGTTTACTCTCATCCTCTCATTTCTATAGATAAGGGTGACTCATCTGACCATCCTAAGGATTAGGCCAAAATGCAAACCTAAAAAATCCGGCTTCAGACTGCATGCTGCTTCTGTTAGTTCTTTAAAATCTAAGTGTTGGGCATGACCCTGATCTCTTTAATACTTTACCCAATCAGTGTCCAGGGCCCACGGAAGGCAGGCAGGGCTGTGAAACTGACAGAGTAGGAGACAGAGTAAACCTGGGGACACAGGTCCCGCCCGCAAGGGCAGCTATGCCTCAGCTCCATCAGCACTACCAGAGAGGAACACAGAGCCAGCACCCACAGATCTTGGATTTTCAAAAAGCACCCGGATTTCTATGTGAAGTCTCCTGATCCCTCAAGGATAACTAACTCAAAATAAAAACAAATACGAAAAGTCAGTTGCAGAAGTCTGCAGGGCTTCCTGCTGGAGGTGGAATCTGTAGAAGACAGAAGTCAGCTGGGGACAAGTAAGGGAGGAAGGTGCTCAATGTAGACACAAATAGCAGGCATCAAGACACGGGAGTGGGGCAGGGCTGCCTCCATTTGGGGAACAAGTCGTTCTGGAACCTGGGGCTCCACAGGCACATGGGGATGGCCCTGGCAGATGCCATATTAGTGCCCAGGCATGCCATGCCCACCACATGCTCACCTATGGGTCTCTCACCTCTTCAATCAACAGAGTGGGAGATTAGTGGCTGAAGATCACGGCAAAGAGAAGGTGCCAGAAGGGTGTTCCTGAAGCATGCAGCTCCTTTGGCGTGGTAGGCACAGACACAGACAAGCATGTGGGACACAGGTGGCCCAGCTGCTTAGGGACTGCAAGACCCCAGCAGGGCCAAGTCCACCCAAGCCTGAAGAAATTGGCTCAAACATCTGGATGAAATTCTGCAAAGGTGTCCACCGTGGTAGCACTCATGAGCCTCTGCAGGTGGTGAGGGTAGACGGCTAGGAGGTCCTGGCTTTCTTTGCCTGTGTGACTGTCTTGATCGCACGTAAAACTACGTGAAAAGATCTTGTCTATTTCCTATTATTGGGAACCCTAGTAAAAGATGAGCTCTGAGAACAAGTGTCATATCTGACTTACTCACCACTGTATCCCCAGAACTTGGCCCTAGCAGGTCTTCCAGGAATGAATGTGTGTTGGCTGAACTGAAGCTCCTGGCCTCCTGAGGCTGAGAAACACCCACCTCTCCTATGGGAACCCCAAATTTTCACAGACTAGGTTAGATGGCCAAGAGCTGGGAAGGAATGCCACCAATACCAACCCATGCCAGGGATGCATTTCTGGAGCTTTCCTGAACAATGACAGTAACGTATAAGCCCACAAATGCTGGATGCTTTGCCCCTACTGGGTTTGCATGTAGCCTGCAGCAGCTTCTCACAGTAGATGCAAAGACATGCAATACACTTGAGGAAAGGAACCGAGACATAAAACTACCCTGCCCACTTGCAGACCATGCCTCAAGGAGTAAAGAAAGGAACAGAACAAACCATGCATGTGTAGGAATATTAAGGGGCAGGCAGACATGGGTAAATGTGATGGGTGAGGAGGAAAAGGAAGGGACAACCATAGCCATGCCACAAAGAAACCAAGAAAGGGGGCTCCACAGGCTTCAGCGGAAGGTGGATGGAGAGAAGCAACCAAAACAACCTATCAGCTGGCCTGCAGCCTGGATGCAGCTCTCCTTACCCCACCATCCATTCCTTCAGAGTTACTCAGGGCCTCCTGCAGCCAGGCTCTGGGGACAGAGGTGATTAAGCCAGCGATGGCTCCTGTCCCTGGGGGGTTAACATACATCAGAAGGAAATCATCCAGTTCGCTGAAGAAGCCAAATGGGATCTGAATTTTATGTTGCCAGAGGGCAGCAGAAGAGTGGAGGCTAAAGGGCAAACTAAACTGCTCTGCATTAAAAACTGAACTTCAAGTTGACTTGAAGGCCGGGCGTGGTGGCTCGTGCCTGTAATTCCAGCACTTTGGGAGGCTGAGGCAAGTGGATCACCTGAGGTCAGGAGTTCGAGCCCAGCCTGGCCAACATGATGAAATGCTGTCTCTACTAAAAATACAAAAATTAGTCAGGTGTGGTGATGCGTGCCTGTAATCCCAGCTACTTGGGAGGCTGAGGCAAGAGAATTACTTGAACCCAGGAGTGCAGTGAGCTGAGATTGCGCCACTGCACTCCAGCCTGGGTGACACAGAGACTCCATCTCAAAAAAAAAAAAAAAAAAAAAAAAGGAAGGAAGGAAGAGAAAGGGGAGAGCAGTGAGCTTGAGAACATGCAGTGCTCTGGGGCAGGATGGAGGTACTGTGGGAGAAACAGCAAAGGACTTTTATCAACAAAAATTTGACGTTCTGTTTAAGTAATCCATATTTCTGCAACATAAACCCCCATCTCCTCATCCTTCAGTAAGAATGTCTACATTAAAAACCAACTGCCCAACTGCCTGGGCACAAGGGCTCACACCTGTAAGCCCAGCACTTTGGGAGGCCAAGGTGGGAGGATCTTGAGCCAGGAGTGTGAGACAAGCCAGGAGTTTGAGACCAGCCTGGGCAACATAGTGAGACTCCCATCTCTATTTAAAAACAAAACAAAACACCACCACCATTCTGGGTTGTTTTTCTGAAAAAACTCCCATTGGCCACAACTGCATCCCTAGGAATCCCTCATGACACAAATTATCCTATTGCCTGCCTCTGTTCCAATTTCAAACCACAGCTCGAAATGATCTGCTAAAGGAAGAGCTCTTCTCGTCGCAACCCTATCCTCAGCAGGGGACTCCTCCCCACCACACAGGCTCAGAGAGGTCATCCAAGTTATCCCACTACCTCGCTGGCCCATGGTAGAACCAGAACCAGGTTCACCCATCCCCAATGCGAGTTTACCTCTTCCCCGGAGCACAGGGCCTCCCTTCCAGACAAGCTTAACTGAGCTCCAGGGGAATAAGGCAAGGTTTGAGCAGTGAGCCCTAGATGCCTGCCACACCCCCAGCAAACCTCCATGTCCCCTCACAGCATCCTGGCAGCCCCTGCCTTCCACCTGCCTTCTCCCCGATCTGCTGATCCTTGGAGAGGCTAGTGATCATCTTCACATCTTCGTCGGTCAGTTCCCCTACAGCGACCTTGTTGTCCTTCTTGGCCACGTGGTTGGCCAGGATGACAGTGGCAAAGACGGGGAAGCCATTGGCAGTGTTGAGGGAGCCATCATAGTTGTTGTGATAGATGCCAGTCAGTTCCTGGGGAAAGGGAGGGGCCAAGAAGTCAGAGCCTAACCGAGGGGCCACAGGCAGAGTGGGGGCCCACCTCCGTGCTGCCTTCCTCCAATTTCTCCTATTGCAAGTGCTCCACATTACAGACATCAAGATGAGTAACTCAGTAAAAGCCCTCCTAAACCCACCATTCCAACAACCCATCCACCAGAGGAGATAAAGTTCTTTGCCTCAGCCATGCAAAAACAGATGCTAGCCTGAGTGCCCCTGCGACCATACACACCTCCACCAGCCCAGCCACAACTGCTTCTGCCAATTCCCTCTGCAACTTGGCTCCCTTCCAGCCTACCCCTGGCCACTTACTATCTCGTCTCCTGGCTTGCAGCTGTCTACCAGATCCGCAAGGAGAATGGCGTCCTTGGAGCGGGGCAGCCGGCCAGCCGCCACTTTGCCTGGACTCTCCTGGATTCGGATACGCTGGTAGTTCTGATAGATGGTCTGCGAGGGACACAGAGAAGGCCTCAAAGCACTGACTTACTATGTCACCCAACCTTGACCCCCCACCAGGCGGGACAACAGGCAGGATTCCGACTCCTGAGTGGCAAATGGAGAGCCAAAGACAGCAAGGAATGAGTTCATGGCTACTTAGCACATCAGTGGACAGTACCCACTCCTGCCACCATCCCTCTGGGATGCCTTCTGACTGCCAGACTCAGCACCTGCTCTATGCTGTACAGCTGAGCTGTCTTGAGTACCAATGCTGGAACCAGGCTGCCTTGGTTCTGTGTCTAAGCTGTGTGATCTTGGGCAAGTGACTTCCTTTCTCTGTGCCTTCTCTGAAACCTCACAATGAGAATTAAAGCAAGTCAAACATACATCAACCTAATCCAGCATCTGATAAATGTAAGTTACAGGAAGTCTTGGCTGTCACTGTCAAGTATCACAGGCCAGCACTGTGCCATGTCATTTCGTGTCCATTATCTCACAACACGCACTGCAGTTAAAAGCACATGCTCTGGATCAAGATGCCTGAGCTGTGGACCTCTGATCCACATTCTAGCTGGGTGACCTCAGCCAGTTCTCTAAACACTCGGAAAAGTGGGGCCAGTAACAGTTCCTGCCTCACGAGCTGTGAAAAAGGACCAGGTAATAAACCACCCACTACCTGGCACTGATAAGTACTCCATGAATGATAGCTGTAACTGTTAACCCTCTACCAGGTACTATCTCAGGTCCCTAGAAGCAAGGCCTGAGGGAGACAGACAGGGCATGGGAAGAGTGAGCAAAGACGTGGCTCAGCAGGCATCTGGCCTGCAGCTGTCCCACCTGAGGCAGGGGTCAGCTTTTGGCTGTAGATGGCCACAGGTGGGACCTCTGAGGCATTTTCTGGCAAGGCGGCTCGAGCTGGGACAGTTCTCAGAACTGCAGAGCGGTGAGAAGAGGACAGCCAACAGCCACAGCAGCAAGGCAGTCAGGGGACCTGGGCGCCACCACAGGGACTACGACAAGCCCATTTACAGACAGGGAAGCTCAAGTACAAAGGCACATGTAATGTGCCTAAGACCTTAAGGCCAGAGGCTTTGGCAGCATCTCCTGAATATGGTGCAAGAGGTTGGTATGGTCCAGGGGCCCCATATGAGCCAGGCAGGTCCCCAAAACAAGCCGAGGGGAAGTCCCGATGGGACTGCAGCCGCCCTACGCAAGTGATGGCCCCCTGGAGACTGGTAAGCACACATTTTGAAGGAGCAACTTGGCAAGAAGCAGGACCTGTTTGCTTCTTCCCATGTTTGCCAGATCTTCCCATGTTTCAAGAGGAGCCATAAACTTGAATGGTTTAAACAAAATCGCCCCACCTAAATATTGACTTGAATTCCTAAAAACACCGTGTGGGCCAAACTAAGCTCACTGGCCAGACAGATTGGGTCCACCCCAGGGTGTGGCCAATACACAATTCTATCTTGCTTCTTGAGGCTGCCCACACTGGCTTCCACAGCCTGAGAGGCCAGTAAGGCCCTGCATACTGGGCACCCCTAAGGAGAGCTGGCAGCAGGCCCTGTGGCCTCTCTCACCTCTTCCATGTTGACCTCAAAGGGGCCGGCCGACTGGCACTCGGGACAGGAGCCTGGTTTCACCTCCTGGTTCTGGGACTGGCAGAAAGGCCCCAGGACGAAATTGCACTTGTTGCAGTTGTACTTGACCATGCTGAGCTGGGGCAGGACGCCAGTGCAGCTGGTCACCACCCCACTGGTGCGGATCAGCTGGTTCAGATGCAGTTGCCTGCAGAGGCAGAGGGAGCATCAGAAGCCGTGAGCTAGGGTGAGGCCAGGCTGCAGACGAGGGTGTCCCAACACACTGTCCTGGAAACTGGGCCCAGCCCCCAGCCTGGGAAGATCCCTCCCATCACACTCCTGTGCAACCACAACTCACCTGCGATGAGGGTGCTGCTGGCTGCACCCTGCCCCGCCCACACTACGAGCGCTCTCTGGAATCACGACCGAGTTACCCAGCACTGAGCTCAGACCTGCCATCCTCACCTGCCCTCAGCTCACCTCAGCGAGCGCAGCTCCTCCACCAGAGGCAGGTGGGAGATGCGGACATGGATGTGGTTGGTGATACGGTCGTACTTGGGGTACATGGCCAGTACCACCTCCAGGGCAGCCTCGTCAAAGATCTGCAGCAGCTCCGCCGGCGCCTCGGGCAGGAAGTAGGCCAGCACGTGCTCCCTTGCTGCCAGGTCCTCATAGTTCACCACCAGGCTCTCACGATTCTCTAGAGGGAGGCATGGTGGGAAGAGAGTTAATGAAGCATGAGAACCGGGCTGGACGGCAACAATGTCTGTGTGAGAAGTGAGGCCTACCCACCCCGACCATTGACTTTGACCTAGAAAGTCCAGCTTTCACTTCTAGGTCTACCACACTTCCGCTGTGACATAGCCTGAGCTTCAACTCTCCACTCCGTAAAATGGGCCTGTCACATGGTGCACAAAGTTGCTGGGGGGTTAAACACGAGCAGAGTGCCTACAGAACTATAAACACAAAATGCCTTACAAGAGCCTAGAAGAAAACCTATGAATAAACTGTCAAACACAGGACAAAAAGCAGGGGAAGGAATTGCAGGATTCAAGATCTACACGTCCCTTTTAAAAGTCAATGCCTGGCTGGGGACGGTGGCTCACACCTGTAATCCTAGCACTCTGGGAGGCCAAGGTGGGCAAATCACCTGAGGTTGGGAGTTCCAAACCAGTCTGACCAAAATGGAGAAACCCCGTCTCTACTAAAAATACAAAATTAGTCAGGTGTGGTGGCGCATGCCTGTAATACCAGCTACTTGGGAGGCTGAAGCATGAGAATCACTTGAACCCTGGAGGCGGAGGTTGCAGTGAGCTGAGACTGCGCCATTGCACTCTAGCCTGGGAAACAAAAACAAGAACGAAACTCCGTCTCAAAAAAAAAAAAAAAAAAAAAAG